TGTGTGATTTGTCATTTTGGTTACAACCTCTTTAACGATTACACTGTTAGACTTTACCTATCCACTTTACGGTAATAAACTGGCAACACTGTTGCCAGCATGATACCGTGATGCATGGTTAACGGTAACTTACCACTTAGTGTTGATCCCAGAATTATACCGTATATTTTATTGCTGTAAAAAACCCTCTGACTGCATGCCGGTGAGATACTGGCAACACTGTTGCCAGTATCTCACCGGCAACAGAGTTGCCAGTAAAATACCGTAATATATTTCACAAGAAAATTACATCAATAATGCAACATTATACCGTGATTAATAAATATGTGTTGTGCTGTATGTTTATGGTATGTTACCGTAAGCTCATTTCAAGGTATGCTGCAATACTTTTTCCAGTGATTTACCGTAAACATACACTTTTGCTACTGAAAATAGTCAACGCTGTCAGAGGTTACTGTGTTTTTTTGGGCAGTAATTTACCTTTTTCATGTCATATTTTACTAAGATACGAGTAAACGGTAACATACTGTAATAAAATAAAGGCTCCCAAAATAAAAGGTTTATACTTGTGCACACACACACACCTGCACACTTGTTTGTATAATAGTTGGATATATTTAAGATCAAGATGTAAACAAAATGCACTGGATTATCTTTTTATTTGATTTCTTCCATTAAAACAGAAAAACATACCAATAGCCGGTAAAAGTCTCTTGAATAAAATGCTTTGTAGTTAAACATCCAGAACGGTATAGTGAGAAGAAATTGGCAACTGATGGTCATAATGTAAAAAAGAAATGAATCAGTGACCTGTGTGACCTACAGCTGATAAATAGTCAGATGTATACAAAATGTATACAAACTTTTCTTAAATGCAAGTAGTTACATATTTGAATTGGTGTAAGAAAATGTTTGAGATCATCTGCCTCTACTAACAGAAGGTCACTTTTTTGTTGGACACCAATTACATCTTTCAGGTGGTCTGCAAAGGACAGTACTTTCTGTCTCTCCAATTCCGGCAGGATGCATGTGATTTCATCCTCAATTTCCATCACTGAAATATAAGGGGAAAAAATCGTGAAGAAACTGAATGGTGCAGGGAGACAACAAAAAGATCTGCCATGTTATAAACAGGCATTGGGTAATAATCCATCAGACTGTCAGCATTTACACACAAACTTCTGTCTGTAGGGCAGTGTAGGCAATAAAGTCCAAGGTCAATAAGGCGTACTGACTGATGCTATTCTAGCAAAAAGTACCATTCAGAATCATTAACAAGTATCACAACTATCTTCCCAAACTCAGTGCTCTCATCAGTGTGATCTACTACAACAACATGACCTTTGACATATTTGGTACCTTTGTAGACAACTGCTGACACATCTAGCATGTTATGATTAGAGACGTTTGCTTTTGTCACAGCATCCTGAGTGGCAGAGTTGTAAAGATGATGTCTATAATCATTCGCTTCCCCAATGATTTAAATTGTAGGTGGAAATATTTGCCCTGCCAAGAGGTAGGACTGCAGTAGCTGATGCCGTTCAGCCAGAGTCTTGCATAAATTGACAAAGTTATGCACTTTTCTTGAACATTGTTTGAAATAAGAGAGCTTGCTCTCAAACCAAAGAGTCCATAAATGAATAAGTGGCCCAAAGTGAAGTATAAGCTGTGGATAATGTGATAGGAAGTCATTTTGTGAAAGTTCCTGAATAATATTGTTTATAGATGCTTCAGGTATATCAAATGCAGAAAGTTTATCAAACAGTTTTCCAAGAACATTGTGCACTCCAGAGCTGTGAAGATCTTGGAATTCCTCTATGATGTATAGTGCTGGCTGGCAAAAGCATTTTAGCTTGCATTTTTAAATAAAACATTGCCAATTGATTTAGAAATGGCTCTTCATTATTTGTAGCATTCTGTAAATGTCTGTCTTCTAAGGTGTCCTGTCTGTCCTTGTACCATGTTAATGTCACCAATTTCTTGTTGACTTGTCTGTTGAACAGTCTTTGACTGCATGTGTTTCCGAGAAATATGACTAGAGAATGATGTTAGAACAATGAAATATTTAGAGCAACCTTTAAATGGGCATAATACTTTTTTCCATCTTTAATATGGATCCTCAGATGGACACAAAGAGTTTTAATATTTTGTCCAACATACCCACATCCAGGAACTTGTCAGCTAAGATTTCCAGTGAACTTCCAGATCTCCTCCTCAGTGTTCTCCCCTCGTCTATGATTTCTGTGCATATGGGAACGAAAGGCAGTGAATGTTTTAAAAGTGGCTTTACAATTCTCAATTCCACAAGAAAACATATAGTTTGCATTGTGTTTATGGCTTCTAACATGTGAACTGAACAATATAAATTTGTGTGCACAGAATCCACAATATTTACAGAGAAACATTTTAAGTACCCTATATCTTCAATAGTTTCTTTTCCAGGGATATTTTAAGCAATACAACAAAAATGCATAGAAAACTAAACAGTACCTTAACAGTAGGCTAAATAGTCATAAAAAGCTCAAATATGCCTAAAATGTAACATCCCCTCAAAAAATGGAAAGTAGTATAGCTTTCACATTGGCCACAAAAAGGAAAATTATTTGACCTCAATATCAGAGTTAAACCTCTCCAACCTGTTCTGCATATCACAGCATGCACTGCCAGCAGCCTTCACCTGCAAACACTTACTGCCAAATTAGCCTTTGTTTTTTTTTTGTTGCTCCTAACTTTATTGAAAACAAATGTCATACACAAGAGAAGTCAAGGAAACAAACTGACTTTGATAGCAGTCTCCATTACAGAAAATGTGAAGCAAATCCTTTTATCTTTGAAAAGAAAAAAGAAATAGAAAAAATGATCAAGAGCAAAACAATAAGTAGCCGAAACATTTTGGCACAAGCAGTTTTCTTATTCATATCTGAGATGTGCTTGAGTGACTAAAAATATAAGGAAAAGTTATTCAAGAAAATGATAAACAGAGAACTGTATTTCCAATTACATGAATAAATAAATTATTTACATAGAATATTTACAAAAAGAAAACATCAGATATTTTAAGTAAAATCTAGCTTTGGCTATCAGTCCAAAATACAATCACATGCTGACAATTGAAAAATAGATTATGCATTGTTTGTAGATCCTAACAAATTTGGTTTTAAGCATCACATTACTTTGCATGGGTAGCAGCTGAAAATTAATCACCTTGTTTGTCAGTTTTTGAAACATTCGGGTAACTTCAATAAGGTGTTTGCACATTTATGGACAGGGACCATTTTGCAGAATTTGCATGAAGATCACAGCTATAGCTAGTTTAAAAGCCAACACATGCAGTAAAATACTTACCAGACTGACCAACTCCCCTGTAATGGGTCGCATTCGAGATACGCGTTTGGAAAATGTTTTTATTTCTTCTTTTCCTAAAAGTGCAAGACAACAATCATATATTGTGTTTCCAATGTTGTTGTTTTGAAAGCAAATATCCAGGTTGTATCAGGTGAAAGTGATGAATTCTTTTTCACTTATCTAATTCTGGGAAACCCAACAACATAAAACATACCTAGGGGTGGAAAATACCTTTGATGAGTTCTTCCTTGGGCCATTTCCTTAAGATTCCATCTATAGTCTGAATTTTTTGTTACATCTATAGTGAACACAATAGATAGACAACAGCATAATTTTGGTGGCTGTAATTATCCTATGATATTGCTATGAAAAGATGCAAAAAAAACAACTGATGGAATTTTGAAATGATCAATATTTTATGGAATATTTTACATTAAAATTCTTACAATTATAAAGTCGTAAACTTGTATCATGTCAGTTTTTTGATAAAATTCTGTAAACATTTATCAGTTTAAATCGCCCACCAGGCAGATGTCAATTACTGTCATTTAGGCAGTAGGACTAATAGATTAGCTTAAATATGATTTTATCAATCTGAGATGATTTTTTTATTTACAATGTAGGCTTGGTTAAAGCATCCAATCTTTTTTTTTATATTATAATTAAAATATTTTTAAAGAGATTTTAGTGAGTGTTTACATACTGTATGCTTTTATAATAGCTCAATTAAAACATTTATTCTTGGAGCATTTTCTCTTTACTATGGGGCATAGTGTTTTTTCATTGATGATCTCACAAGAATTGTTTTGGTAATGCACTCTGAATGAAGATTTGAGCAAGGTATTTTAAAATGTCCACTGAAAAACCACAGACAGAAAAATGTCAGAGGTATACCAAATTTTTAAATTTGCTGTACTTTACCTGTTTCCTTTAAAACTGTGACATACCATGAAAAATATGTGATGTTGTTGAATTTACTCACATTACATGCCAAATACAGTACTACACTGCTAAGATTTTAGCTGTATTTTACTGCTGATTTTACAGTAATATACTATAGGAATGACAGCTCAGTCTAACAGTGCATGGAAATTACAGTACTACACTGCAAACACTTTTAGAAGTATTTTACTGTTGATTTTACAGTAATATACTATAGGAATGACATCACAGTCTAACAGTGCATGGAAATTACAGTACTAAACTGCAAACACTTTTAGAGGTATTTTACCGTTGATTTTACAGTAATATACTAGCAAATGCCAGCAAAGTCTAACAGTGTAAGCCTGTTATGGGTCAAACTGTTTGGTTGTTGGCTGTGTGCTGATGTCACATCTGGGTCAGCATCTGCACCACTAGAGAGCAGCGTTTGACCTGACTGACCCACACACGGCCCATCTGCAAGTCTAACATCTGATAAGTCTCAACATGGTGATTCAGACACACACACAATCTCTCTCTCTCTCTCTCTCTCTCTCTCTCTCTCTCTCTCTCTCTCTCTCTCTCTCTCTCTCTGTCTGTCTGTCTGTCTCTTCAGACAATCCTCTAATATCTTAACATAAACAGTGCTTTCCTTTGTGAAACCCAGGTTTTATTTCCAGAAAGACATTTTCAAATTCATCCCTTGACAAATAAAAACAGAACACAGAGGGAGCTAACATTTGCTGGTAGCTGTTTCTTTATTTGGTTAATAGGATTCTTTCTGTGACCACATCTCCTTGGAGGACCAGCGTGACATGTCAGCAATGTGACTGAAGATCTGTGTCAGTCAGTAATTTCCTCTTTGTTCACTGGGAACAAATATAATGATACATCAAGAGGATTTCTAACAGCTCTTTATTCCAGAAGTACCGTCCTGCGACAGTCATCTAAATCAGGTTTTCAGCTTTGAACCCATCAAGCCAAACCTGCGGAGGCTAGTCAGCTCAACTTATGATGTGGGAACCTGGAGACATTTTTAATGAGTCATTCAACAGAAAACCTTGCTGTTAAAATCTTTGTATTTCTACTCTTTTAATCTTCTGTACTATTTAAAGCTAAATATGTCATAAAAACCCGGCCTGGTGTTTCGCAACGGCTGTTGCTAACCAACTGAGGAGTGTGTTCATAGAAATGTTTGCTTGGTTTGGCACTCTTCAATCCAATTTGTGTGTTTCTGTTATTTTTCCACAAACACAAGTTTCAGTTTTTATTCAGTTGTGTAAATGAGCACCAAGGCTCTGCTTTAGGGTCATTATTTGTTTATCTCTCAAACAAAAGCAGTGAAAAATAATCTGTTTATATGTGATCAAACCTTAAAACACTGTTTGTGGTTTTCAACCTTCAAAACAATTAAATCCAGAGAAAAGACATCATTTATACATCTGACTGAGGTCAATTTCATCTCGATTTCTTTATACTTCATGTCACAAGGTTTGGTGAGTATTTTATTTTGTGAATGTGCAAATAAAATATAATAACTATATCAGTCTAGCAATGCAATTTGCACACCAACTTAACTTTATCGTTCATTCACACCCCAATACAATACAAGGTTACAATAAAACATGTGTGAAAGTGGCTTCCATAGTGGTTCGTGCATCAGTTTTACATGTGTGGCAGTGTGAGCGTCCTGTCACAGTGTCCCGGTTGATCATGCGCCCTGGCTACTTGGTCAAGGGGACGTCCCTTTGGCTGACTGGTTAGCATGCGGGACCCTCACCCAGGAGTCTGGGGATCAAATCCCGCCCGGTCCCTTGTTTCTCCACCTTGCCACACATGTATTGGAACATTTATGAATGCCCCCCAGGAGACTACAAGCCTGGAGGTCTTTTATTTCATCATTTTTACAAATATCTGCATGTAAAAATAAAGATGTTTTTATCTTTGGCTGACAGCTTGTTGATTCAGCAGCATAACCTGTTTGACATTTGGATATCAAATCACACCACAAGTAAGTATGCTGGTGACTATACCACCTCAACATAGTTGGCTGGGTAAAGCCCCTCCCACCCTTCATCCTTCTTCCCCCGACACCAGCCCTGATCATCCTCATCCTCGATCTTCAAAAACTCCTCACCTAAAAATAATACAAATATAAAAACATGTTTCTCGTTCTTTTTCCAGTCTTGGTTTCATACAAAAACATATGACATGTTTATTTTCCCCAAATGAAAGCTGCACACATGTAGGTTGATGCTTTTACCTGCTTTAAAGGACAGCTCATCAGTTTCCTGCCCAGCATAATCATACAGAGCTCTGACTCTCACTCCTCCAATCATCACCCTGAAAACCAAGAGAACAGCAGATGTAACTATAAAAAAAACATCACAGAGACAAGAAAGCGGTTCTGATAATTAAAGATACATTTTCATTTGTTTTCTTTGAAAATGCAACTGATGTGCAAATTTGATTTTGTGTGAGGCCTCCCTTCCTTTCCTCCGAGGGGCGCTGTGGTGTCTAGAGCACACGGGATAGGATCTTGTGTACTTTTTCCCTTTCACGTTCCCTCAGGGACTCAGTAGGCTTGCTTTTTAACCAATGAGAGGTCAAAATCATCTTATAGGAGTTTTGTGTAAATCTGGCAAATGCAGCTTTTATTGTAAGATGTACAACGAGACATTTTAGGGTAACCTGACATAGGGCTGCTCGATTATGGCAAAAATAATAATCACGATTATGGTGACTGAAATTGAGATCTCGATTATTTTGGACGATTTTTCTATTTATGTTGATTTTATTTGTTTTTATTCAGTCATAAAATTGCTCAGGGCACAATCAGGACAAAAATAAGAAACAAGATGATCACTAAAAGAACTCCTGACTCCCAGTATAAAAAGACCAATATACTTATAGCTCATAGTTTATGACCCAAGGGCTATAGACCTTGGTTTAACTCATTTAAGTCTAACCAGTACAGACCCAAATACCAATATCTTGCAAATACCGACAGCAAGAATTATACAGTGGCATTTATAACAAATAAATGCAAATAAATTGATGTTCACAAAATGTTGCATAACATTTATTGAGTCGTGTCAAGGTGCTGTAGGAGAGTGCACTAGCACCGTGTCCTCAGAGAGATTAGTTATTAGTTATCAGTGTGAGGAACTTATTTCTACCTTATTTATAAACTATTTATTTACAAGTCGTCCATCAGTTAATGTAATAATTGTCCCAACCACAGCTGCACCCCCCAACCCCCAACCCGGTCTCACAGCAATCAGGGGCAAGCTGCACGTGTGTTTAGCACGCCGCACGCGCACATTTAGCCGTTTTTATCGGCTCAGGAGCCCGCAGGTGCGGTGTGTGTGTGACTCACTCTGGTTACTCTAACAGGGAGCCGGCTCTGAGAGCCGTTTCTTTAGCGACCGACACATCACTACATCATTCCCTTTCCTAATGTCCTGAAGAACGGTCCAGAGCGCAGGCGGAGTTTTTAGCTAACCTGCAGGAAATGTCAACAACAGTTATCCAGAAAGTAGCTAAGGGTTACCAGAGATGTTTCTGAGATGTTCGCTAGGTACTTTTAAGATTTAAAAAGTCAAAAAGGGGGTCTGAAAAGCAGTTAGAAATAGCGTCAAAGTCGCCAAGTTGGCAACACTGTGGGAGGAGCGCTTCATTTGCAACTCAGGGCAGCGCAAGCGGGAGGAGCAAATAATCGGCTTGTTTTGTTTTTTATAATCGTTCAAAACTCAGATCGTAATCGCGATTAAAATTCGATTAATTGAGCAGCCCTAACCTGACTTTTGTTTCCTTCTCCTCCTGTGGTCTCAGGTTGTTCATTTCAGAGTTCCTGTTCCTGATTTTTTTAGGTTTGAATCACTCAGTTTGTTTTGATGTTGTTTCACATTTTTGTAGTTTAGTATTATTTTTTAACTCATTGTTGTCGAACCGGTTGTGGTTCCTCCAGAAAGTTTTCAAAGTTGTCACCAGACGGGGTGACACTGACACTCTAATGATGGCGCACCACAGTGTAACAGATATTTAAAATGCACCGCAGTGTGGGAGAGAGAACTGTTTACTGATATTTACCTTCTTCTGTTTATTTGTCATTTTACAGAAAATCTCTGTACTTTTGCACTTTGCAGAACAAAAAATAAAAAGACAAAAACTGAATTAATTAGTGTTACAACTCATCCAAACTTGATGTTCGTTAATAAAATCATGAACTGTTTGGATAAAGATGGGTCAGAGGTCACAACTAAAAGGTCACTGATCACATTGGGCCAGTTTCAGCTCCTCAGACATCGTCCTTCCTCCTGCTGTCGTTTGTGCGACCTAACATTGTTTTACATCTCCATCAGATCAGCATCAGGAATCTTTTTTATTTTTGCTCAACTCTTTCATGTTCCAGAAAATAAAAACCTCGATAAGCCAGTGGAATCCGGTTCTCATATATCTGATAAATATTCTGCTGAAATTCATTTCAGGTTTGAAGGATGAAGAGGAAGGAGCAGAGAACAGATGAAGAGTCACATTGCACCAGACTGACACTCACCCTTTGTCTATTGTTTCTTTCCTTTCCACCTCTTTCTTCCCTTTTTTGGTTTTCTTTTCAACCATCCATTCCTGAGAAAGATTTGTAAAAATATCATGTATGAAGAAACACAGAGTTGAACTTCTGCTTCTGAGGAAACGGCCTGCAGGATAAAACAAGAACCTGGAATTCCGGCCAGTCGGTCGGCATGCCGGGTCCGTGAGTGTTTTTCCACCAGCGAAGGTCTTCCTGGTCATCGATGCCCATCAGCGTGTTGTGGAGCTCAGCATACACGCCCACCACGCTGAAAGATAAAAGCAGAAAAACACTGAACATTAAATCCTGATTCAGGCTCGTTTTTGCATTTTCTGAATCAACTGAAGTAAAAACTTCACGAAAGAAATTTTGATTCATTCATGGTATTTTGAGTTGAAAATAATGACATTTGTTATAAATTTTCTCTAAGATTAAATTGTTTTACATTTACCTTCTCAGTGAACAATAATCCACGGAAGCAGAACCATCATCGTTATGAAGCAAACACACTTACCCTGTCTGTCACCTGGGACAGACTGTCACTATGGTAATTAAAGCTATGGAATCTTGCGTTACCATAGTTACAGCTCAGGTGCATCATTTAAAACGTTTTATTATTAAGGCTAGAACCTTCCAGACTTCAGTTCCATCTGGAGAGAGTAGGACCTTTTCTCTGCGGTCTCTGTGTTTGCTGACTTTAATCTTCCAGAGAGCAGCTCCAGCAGGTAATAAAACTACCCACAAACAAACCAGCCCAACATCTGACATGTTTAGGCTTTCAGATTTATCTGAAGTGTTTCCTGTGCTTTACTGGGAGACTTGAACATCCCTCAAGGTAAACTGGTTTTATCATTTATATAAAATTCACCTGCTGGAAAAAACAAAATGAACAACAACCCCGTAAGCAGGTCAGATTACAGATAAACAGTCAAGATAAAACTACTTTGAACGTGAAATGTGAGTTATAAACGTACATTTCTACAACTAGACCTGCATGCTATCTGCCGTGTACAGTAGTGGTGTCTGGAGAAGGGACTGATCTTTATTTCTGCACCAGTTTGTCAGAAATATAAGTAAATACCACTTTTTCATCAGTGAATAACTTATAACTTTAATAACATTAAGTCAACAAACTATTTTGACTTGTTTACATTTAAAAATGAATCCATCAGCTAATAGAAGAGTCATTTGACTTGATTTAGCAAACAGAAAAGTCAAGAGGCTCAACTGCAGGTTATCTTTATGCACGTATTTAACTTCTAAGTAACGTATAGTTTTTGTCACGTTGCTCTTTGATTAAACAATACCAGGAAAACTGAAATCTCTGTTTATATTTATAACCTTTACTGCATCAAGACCATGGAGAATTTTCTTTAATGCCAAACGGTTTGTTATTTGTCTGAAGAGGATTGTATCATCTTCTTTAAGTTCTGATATCTTTTTATTAAATATATTTCTACGTCATCAAACATCTGGTCTGTGATCCGATCATTATTATGCATAAGAGGTACACCTGATGGTGGCTCCTTTTATGTTAAATCACATTTAGAGGGACAGGATGACAGAGTTTAAAATGCATACAAAAAATAAATCTTTTAAAAAGTAATGAAGTTATTGAATATAATATAACATGTAAAGCTTTTCTTTATTTGTACTTTACTTATTTTCTTCAGGTCTACTTTTTACTTTTACTTCACTAGTTTTTAAAGCCACTGTCTGTACTTCCTACTTCACTACAATAGGGAGCTAGGTCTCCTCTCTTCCCGGTCGGCTCACGGGTCCCCGGAAGAACGAAAACATGAATGCAAGTCAACGGAGCTAAAACGCCATTTTCTAATCCGCTTTGCCTAACGTCCTGGATCACACACATGTTGTACTTCAGTTTAAATGTAATCCAACGATGGGTGGTTCAGTCACGCCAGTCACGTACTTTGAAATTTATCAGCTTGTAACAGTTCTACGTTAGCATGACTACAAATCCGACATCGGCGCGTTGCGTACATGACGTCACCACAGACTCTCTGCCATTTTCCCTCTGTTTTTCTCCGTGTCTGCTTCGATGATGTCACTTTCATGAAGCGCATTTGTTGTCCTGGACTTATTACACAAAACTTAAAATAACGTTTCCCCCCTTTCGAAAAGAAGCCGTTCTTGGTATTAAAATGCATCTTCATGGACATCATGTGTGAAATCCATGGCACATAGCAAGCGGAATTAGAAAATAGCGTTTTTAGCACCGTTGACTTGCATTCATTTTTTTGTTCTTCCGGGGACCCGTGGTCCGGAAGTAGATGGGCGTGACTTAGGCTCCCTATGGAGAGCTGTCTGTCATCTATGGCAGACTGTCACTATGGTAAAGCTATGGAATCTTGCGTTACCATAGTTACAGCTCAGGTGCATCATTTTAAATGCTTTAAGGCTAGAACCTTCCAGACTTCAGTTCCATCTGGAGAGAGTAGGACCTTTTCTCTGCGGTCTCTGTGTTTGCTGACTTTAGTCTTCCAGAGAGCAGCTCCAGCAGGTAATAAAACTACCCACAAACAAACCAGCCCAACATCTGACATGTTTAGGCTTTCAGATTTATCTGAAGTGTTTCCTGTGCTTTACTGGGAGACTTTAACATCCCTCAAGGTAAACTGGTTTTATCATTTATATAAAATTCACCTGCTGGAAAAAACAAGATGAACAACAACCCCGTAAGCAGGTCAGATCACAGATAAACAGTCAAGATAAAACTACTTTGAATCTGAAATGTGAGTTATAAACGTACATTTCTACAACTAGACCTACATGCTATCTGCCGTGTACAGTAGTGGTGTCTGGAGAAGGGACTGATTTTTATTTCTGCACCAGTTTGTCAGAGAAATAAATAAATGCCACTTTTTCATCAGTGAATAACTTATAACTTTAATAACAAGCTATTTTCACTTGTTTACATTTAAAAATGAATCCATCAGCTAATAGAAGAGTCATTTGACTTGATTTAGCAAACAGAAAAGTCAAGAGGCTCAACTGCAGGTTATCTTTATGCACGTATTTAACTTCTAAGTAACGTATAGTTTTTGTCACGTTGCTCTTTGATTAAACAATACCAGGAAAACTGAAATCTCTGTTTATATTTATAACCTTTACTGCATCAAGACCATGGAGAATTTTCTTTAATGCCAAACGGTTTGTTATTTGTCTGAAGAGGATTGTATCATCTTCTTTAAGTTCTGATATCTTTTTATTAAATATATTTCTACGTCATCAAACATCTGGTCTGTGATCCGATCATTATTATGCATAAGAGGTACACCTGATGGTGGCTCCTTTTATGTTAAATCACATTTAGAGGGACAGGATGACAGAGTTTAAAATGCAAACAAAAAATAAATCTTTTAAAAAGTAATGAAGTTATTGAATATAATATAACATGTAAAGCTTTTCTTTATTTGTACTTTACTTATTTTCTTCAGGTCTACTTTTTACTTTTACTTCACTAGTTTTTAAAGCCACTGTCTGTACTTCCTACTTCACTACAATAGGGAGCTAGGTCTCCTCTCTTCCCGGTCGGCTCACGGGTCGCCGGAAGAACGAAAACATGAATGCAAGTCAACGGAGCTAAAACGCCATTTTCTAATCCGCTTTGCCTAACGTCCTGGATCACACACATGTTGTACTTCAGTTTAAATGTAATCCAACGATGGGTGTTTCAGTCACGCCAGTCACGTACTTTGAAATTTATCAGCTTGTAACAGTTCTACGTTAGCACGACTACAAATCCGACATCGGCGCGTTGCGTACATGACGTCACCACAGACTCTCTGCCATTTTCCCTTTGTTTTTCTCCGTGTCTGCTTCGATGATGTCACTTTCATGAAGCGCATTTGTTGTCCTGGACTTATTACACAAAACTTAAAATAACGTTTCCCCCCTTTTGAAAAGAAGCCGTTCTTGGTATTAAAATGCATCTTCATGGACATCATGTGTGAAATCCATGGCACATAGTAAGCGGAATTAGAAAATAGCGTTTTTAGCACCGTTGGCTTGCATTCATTTTTTTGTTCTTCCGGGGACCCGTGGTCCGGAAGTAGATGGGCGTGACTTAGGCTCCCTATGGAGCGCTGTCTGTCAACTATGGCAGACTGTCACTATGGTAAAGCTATGGAATCTTGCGTTACCATAGTTACAGCTCAGGTGCATCATTTTAAATGCTTTAAGGCTAGAACCTTCCAGACTTCAGTTCCATCTGGAGAGAGTAGGACCTTTTCTCTGCGGTCTCTGTGTTTGCTGACTTTAGTCTTCCAGAGAGCAGCTCCAGCAGGTAATAAAACTACCCACAAACAAACCAGCCCAACATCTGACATGTTTAGACTTTCAGATTTATCTGAAGTGTTTCCTGTGCTTTACTGGGAGACTTTAACATCCCTCAAGTCAGGGGTGTCAAAGATGCGGCCCGCGGGCTGGATCCGGCCCGCAAGCGGGTTAAATCCGGCCCGCGAGATGGTTGTGTAAACTTTATTTTCATACTTTAGAATGTAGAGTGAAAATAAACTTATCTTTGTGAGCAAGTTTTCTCTGTAATGAGTATAAATAAACAAAGCTGCGCTCAAGGCTCACACAAGAACTTGAATCACATCCTGAAGTTGGCCGCCACTCAGGATGTGACTTCTGATATTGATGTGCTGGTGAAAGCTAAAAGATGTTAGGTAAAATGAGTCAAATACACTTTAAGTGCTGCATGAAACTGATCTTGCCATGTGATCTGTAAGCTCTTTGAATCACTAAGGAATGTTTTTTTATTTGTTGATTTTTTAATTGTTTTTTTTTTTTTTTTCAAATTTTCAAGTACACTTCAGGTGTTGTACTTGTACTACACTGTCCTCAGGCTCCAGCCTTGTTTTATATTGATTGTATTAAAACAAAGAAAACAATCTGAAGTTTTTTTTTTTTAATTTACCGGTCCGGCCCACTTGGGACTAGATTTCCCTCAATGTGGCCCCTGAGCTAAAATGAGTTTGACACCCCTGCTCAAGGTAAACTGGTTTTATCATTTATATAAAATACACCTGCTGGAAAAAACAAAATGAACAACAACCCCGTAAGCAGGTCAGATTACAGATAAACAGTCAAGATAAAACTACTTTGAATCTGAAATATGAGTTATAAACGTACAACTAGACCTACATGCTATCTGCCGTGTGCAGTAGTGGTGTCTGGAGAAGGGACTGATCTTTATTTCTGCACCAGTTTGTCAGAAATATAAATAAATGCCACTTTTTCATCAGTGAATAACTTATAACTTTAATAACATTAAGTCAACAAACTATTTTGACTTGTTTACATTTAAAAATGGATCTAGTGTTTAACGAGTTCCTGATTAAAAAGAGCAAAGGCAGCTGAATAAACCACATGGAGTAGAGTGATTTCTCCAGCTGTGCTTTTATAATCTAGATCTACACGCGGTGGCTTCTGGTCGTTGCAGTGATGCTGACTCTCAGCTGGGAGCGGTGGCAGTTTCGTTCACATCTGACCTAAAACTGAGCAGAAGGATGTGAACAGAAATCCTTTTTGTTTCCATCTCCGTTTGAGCCTAAAAGTGTGTTTCTGAACGAGAAGGATAAGAAAACGAAGCACAGCCTGATGTAAACAACACAACTGAAAGTTTCTCTTCACAGATCTGAAACCTGTTGAGACAAAAACATGAAGTGTCTCCAGTGAGACTGCGTTCGGTTTAAAACATGAAGAATAAAATAAATTCACAACTGAAATCCAGACGTTTCACTTGGTGAAGTAAAACACAACAGACGATCTTCAGAAACTGGTGTTTAAACAGAGTGCTGGAGATGAAACGGTTCACATGTAACAGCAGCTGTTGCCTCAGTCGCCGTGATGAACATGGATCTGACCATAGAAACTGATCAGAGATCAGTTTGTTACCAGTAACAGTAGATGTGATGTTTCCTGCTTGATGTCTCTGATGCCATGATGTCTGACGTCTTGTAACGGGTTTTAAAGCTTCTTCTTCTTCTTCTTCTTCTTCTTCTCATCCTGTGTCACAGAACGATGGAGGAAAACATGCGCCTCCTGGAGAGTTTTGAGAGGTACATGGAGGACTTGGACAGAGAGGGGGAGTTTTTCTCCCTTCTGGACGAGATCTTTCAGGAGTACCAGCCCGTTCCTTTTCCTCCTCCACCTTCTCCTCTCGAACATCCTCCCTCACCTCTCCTTCATTCTTTTTCTCCTCCACCGTCTCCTCCTCTCGAACATCCTCCCTCACCTCTCCTTCATTCTTTTTCTCCTCCACCGTCTCCTCCTCTTGAACATCCTCCCTCACCTCTCCTTCATTCTTTTTCTCCTCCACCGTCTCCTCCTCTTGAACATCCTCCCTCACCTCTCCTTCATTCTTTTTCTCCTCCACTGTCTTCTCCTCTCGAACATCCTCCCTCACCTCTCCTTCATTCTTTTTCTCCTCCACCGTCTTCTCCTCTCGAACATCCTCCCTCACCTCTCCTTCATTCTTTTTCTCCTCCACCGTCTCCTCCTCTCGAACATCCTCCCTCACCTCTCCTTCATTCTTTTTCTCCTCCACCGTCTCCTCCTCTCGAACATCCTCCCTCACCTCTCCTTCATTCTTTTTCTCCTCCACCGTCTTCTCCTCTCGAACATCCTCCCTCACCTCTCCTTCATTCTTTTGCTCCTGCTTCATCTCCCCCTCCTCCTGTTGTTTCTTCTCTGCCTTCACCTCATACTCCCACTGTCCCTTCTCCGCCACCATCCCTTCTTCCTGACATTCCACCTGCTGCTCCTGCTTCTGCTCCTCACACTCCCACTGTCCCTTCTCCGCCACCATCCCTTCTTCCTGGGACTCCACCTGCTGCTCCTGCTTCTGCTCCGGTCTCCGACCCAAAGTCAGTTTTGATTTGACCGTTTCAGAATAATATATCTATAAAGTTTACCACGTTTCCAGGATGTAGATGCTGACAGGTGTGTGTTGTGTTTTGTCTCTGCAGTAAGAGAAAGCGTGGGCACCAGCAGGAGGACCGTCCCTATGTGAAGAAGCCACCAAATGCCTTCATGATCTTCCTGCGGGACCAGAGGCCCAAGGTGGTGGCTGAGCTGAAGCTGGCAGACAGCACTGCTGTCAACGCCGTCGTGGGCCAGAGGGTAAGTGTGTTTGCGACAGAATGATGATGGTTTTGCTTCCGTGCATTATTGTTCACCAACAGCTTGTCTCACTGTCTTCTGTTCACAGTGGAGGGAACTGTCTCCTGAGCAGAGGAACATCTACATGGACCAGGCTCACAAGGAACAGAGGCTCCACGAGCAGCAGCACCCAGGCTGGGTCCCCAACTACATCCGTGTACGTACACTCTGCTCAGACACCATGACCTCACACACCTGATGCTGATGAAAACTTACTGATATAAAACTCTTGTGTGTGTTTTTGGGGCCAGAAGGCAAAAGGCGTTAAGAAGGAGCCGGCCGCCATTTCTGCAGGTAAGAAACATTTCTGTGGATCATTAGATGTGATGATGTCACCACAGCTTGATTGTTGAAGGGATTTAGATGAACTTTTCATGTGTGATTATGTGCTTCATGTGAATGTTTGTGTTGGTTCTATTCAGGCTGTAGAAGCTAAGTGTTTCCTTTAAAAAGTCTCAGAACTGATGGTATTTTTATCTTTCTGTTGCAGCGTCCAGCAGCCCAGGAGGGAGCAGCCGCAGCCAGTGACCAACATCTGGTCACCTGCTCTAGCCCTTGACCTGTCCTCCTATTTTTTGCACCACAGACACGTCACGTTTTGTTTTTTCCTTTTTCTGGAGGGTGGGGGCAATGGTAAGTTGGGATTCTGCTATCTGCAACTAGTAGGATTCCCCTCTCAGGACACCACCTCCCCTCTCTTACTGCACGCGCACACAAACGCACGCGCGCACACACACACACACACACACGGACACACACACAGACACATACACACACACACACACACACACACAGGCACACGGGCACACAAACACACACACGGACACACACACAGACACATACACACACACACACACACACACACAGGCACGCGCGCACACACACACACACACACACACACACACACACGGACACACACACAGACACATACACACACACACACACACACACAGGCACACGGGCACACAAACACACACACACACACACACACACTCACACACACGCACACACACACACATGCACACACACGCACGGACACGCACACAGACACATACACACACACACACACACGGGCACACAAACACACACACAAACACACACACATGCACACACACGCACAGACACACACACATGCACACACACGCACGCACACACACGCACGGACACACACACACACACATCACACGCACGCACACACTTCACACACATGCACAAAACACGCGCAAGCACACACACACATACACATACACATGTACACACGCATGCACGCACGCACGCACACACACACACACACACACACACACACACACACACACACACACACACACACACACACACATTTTAGTAAATTAACTCAGTCTGTTATTTGTGGGAATTTTGTCATTCCAGATTGAACACTTGGGACACCTGGAACCTTGGACCCTTTGACTCCTGGACCACTCTAACCTCAGACACTTTGAACACTGGACACACACCACTAAAACCTTTAAATAAACCTTTTTAAAGTTTTATCTTTGCTCAGTTTTTTGTTTTCTACTCTTCAGTTCACAGTCAGACCTGAAAATTTGGCAATGAACTTGTTTTGAGTTAAAATGCTCAAACTCTATAGTTGTACTTTGTCTAAATCTGAACCATGGCGTTCGTTTTACTTCTATAATCAGTTTACCACAGCTACAGCGGAACCAAGCTGCTTCACAAGGTGAGGAACAGATTACAGTTTTCACCATTGGTTTGGCTCATTTGTCGAAACAGAAATTACATTCTCAAAATAACATGGACAAACCTCCAAACCTCTTGGCAAATGTTCACTATACAGAATGGCATTTCTCGTTCGTTTTATCAAATGGCAAAAGCCTTAGTACTTAATACATGTCTCAATTGTCTCAGTGCATCTTTGCAAATGATTAAGTACATGCAGCCTACAGTTACACAGCTAGCCCACATTTAGCACATTTTCCGAATGAATAGATCTTGTAGATCTAAACAGATTAGCTGATTCTCAGTCTAATGATCATTCTCTCCAATACATGTCAGCATGATTTAATTGTATTAGTACACACATGCACAACTGTCTGTTCAATTGTCAGAATTAGTCAAGAACATAATACCATGAATACCATATATGAATTTCTTTGAATATTTGGTACGTTGATGACAGTCATTGACATTCAGGTGAAACTAGACTAACGAACAGGGAGTGTCACACACAGGTGATTTCCATGATTGTCTGCTGCCATGTCTGACAATGGTGTGGTCACTCACATCCCCAGTCTTGGCCCATACAACGCACTCAAGCTCCTCATCTTCTTGGTTCGCCTTTATATCGATTTTATCCCTGAAAATGAGAGAGGTCTCATAGGGCCTCACCTACCCATTTATGTTATTGTGTGGGACAATGTCAATTTCCACTAAAATCCAGGTTACAAAAAAACTATCTTTTGATTACGCTAAATGGTCACCTACACTATAACCAGAATTCAAACACATATGTAATTTAGATTTTTAGAGAAAAAGATGGTCAAAACATCTCATAATGCTGATCCAGATTATGCATTTGTTATAGTTTCAAGAATTTATTTCTCAGAAACGCATCATCTGGATAGGAGTTACTTTGACCTGCTCGAACCACAATCTCCGAAAGGTGCTGTGACTCCCTCTGACTTACTTCATTTTATAAAGATAGAGATGAAATTACACCTGTAGGTGCTGTAAAATGTGATTGTAACATTCCAAACATGATATCACACAGGCTGTTGGAGACTGAAAACTCAAGCTGGAAAACAAACTAAGGGCCAAATCAAATCTGGATGAGAAAATCCATGTTTATTGACCGCTGTTGATCTTAAATGCCTGGTTGAAGGGTCGCACAGGTTCATGTATTTCGTTTGAGTAAAATTATAGCCTTAAGCTATCTGTAAATTTGATAGTTGACTTATTCTGTGAAACTGCTAATTTTGAAAAGAGTTTAAAAAAAATAGCTGCTGTGGAGTTGTAGTCCATTTCCAGCTGTTTCCATTTTCCAGAACCATCAAGATTATGTTTCCCATAGATATCATATATATTACTAGATGCCCTAACTGGGAGTCGACTGCGTCCTTACACGGCGGCCATCTTACTTCGGACAGCTAACCGTTCTCTAGCTGAGGGTGAGTGCACGGCTAAAATAAAAATACTTATAACTCGATGAAATATTAACTGATTTACAAACGGTTTGCCTTATTACAAACCGTATGTTACATAGACTTGACGCGGGACACGTACACGCTGAAATTACCGCTATTACTTTTGAAACACGACATAAATGTGAACAATGTGTCCTGGCTAAGCAATTTTGCTCGTTAGGTTGAGAGAGACCACATTCAAAATTTTATAGGGTTCGTATAGTTCAACGAAACTAAGAAGTGTATGTAAACCTAATGTTTGTCTAAATGGCAATCTTGGTGGATGTTTTAGTGTTTATTAGCTGTCTAACTTGGCTTAGAGAACACGAGGCTGCCGTGGCCGTGCTGCTTAGCTACAGCGTTTTACCTCAGTGGAAGCTGAGGGTAAAATTGCCCTTGATTTCCAGGCGGCTTACTTTATTAAAAAAATGCAAAAAACTTAGACTAAAGTATATTAAAATAGCTGAAATTGCTGGCTTTGTTTTTACAGAAATACAGTGGGGCAAAAAAGTATTTAGTCAGTCACCGATTGTGCAAGTTCTCCCACTTAAAATGATGACAGAGGTCAGTAATTTACATCATAGGTACACTTCAACTGTGAGAGACAGAATGTGAAAAAAAAATCCATGAATTCACATGGCAGGATTTTTAAAGAATTTATTTGTAAATCAGGGTGGAAAATAAGTATTTGGTCAATAACAAGAATTCAACTCAGTACTTTCTAACATAACGTTTGTTGGAAATAACAGAGGTCAAACAATTACTATAGGTCTTTACCAGGTTTGCACACACAGTAGCTGGTATTTTGGGCCATTCCTCTATGCAGATCTTCTCGAGAGCAGTGATGTTTTGGGGCTGTCGCCGAGCAACACGGTCTTTCAACTCCCTCCACAGATTTTCTATGGGGTTGAGGTCCGGAGACTGGCTAGGCCACTCTAGGACTTTCAAATGCTTCTTACGGAGCCACTCCTTTGTGGCCCGGGCCGTGTGTTTGGGATCATTGTCGTGTTGGAAGACCCAGCCACGTTTCATCTTCAAAGCTCTCACTGATGGAAGGAGGTTTTGGCTCAGAATCTCACGATACATGGCCCCATTCATTCTGTCCTTAACAGGGATCAGTCGTCCTGTCCCCTTAGCAGAAAAACAGCCCCAAAGCATGATGTTCCCACCCCCATGCTTCACAGTAGATATGGTGTTCTTGGGATGCAACTCAGTATTCTTCTTCCTCCAAACACGACGAGTTGAGTTTATACCAAAAAGTTCTGCTTTGGTTTCATCTGACCACATGACATTCTCCCAATCCTCTGCTGTATCATCCATGTGCTCTCTGGCAAACTTCAGACGGGCCTGGACATGCACTGGCTTCAGCACCGGAACACGTCTGGCACTGCAGGATTTGATTCCCTGCCGTTGTAGTGTGTTACTGATGGTGACCTTTGTTACTGTGGTCCCAGCTCTCTGCAGGTCATTCACCAGGTCCCCCCGTGTGGTTCTGGGATTCTTGCTCACCATTCTCATGATCATTTTGACCCCACGGGATGAGATCTTGCGTGGAGCCCCATATCGAGGGAGATTATCAGTGGTCTTGTATGTCTTCCATTTTCTGATAATTGCTCCCACAGTTGATTTGTTCACACCAAGCTGCTTGCCTATTGTAGATTCACTCTTCCCAGTCTGGTGCAGGTCGACAATTCTTTTCCTGGTGTCCTTCGAAAGCTCTTTGGTCTTGGCCATAGTGGAGTTTGTAGTCTGACTGTTTGAGGCTGTGGACAGGTGTCTTTTATACAGATAATGAGTTCAAACAGGTGCCATTAATACAGGTAACGAGTGGAGGACAGAAAAGCTTCTTAAAGAAGACATTACAGGTCTGTGAGAGCCAGAGATTTTCCTTGTTTGAAGTGACCAAATACTTATTTTCCACCCTGATTTACAAATAAATTATTTAAAAATCCTGCCATGTGAATTCATGGATTATTTTTCACATTCTGTCTCTCACAGTTGAAGTGTACCTATGATGTAAATTACTGACCTCTGTCATCATTTTAAATGGGAGAACTTGCACAATCGGTGGCTGACTAAATACTTTTTTGCCCCACTGTACATGTGAAACACAACAAGCATGCCTGACTTTTGTGCTGCACTAATAGACGATGTCTTCAATCACGACAACGTGGGATCACCTTTCATTCGTAACATTTAACATTAACAAACATTCAACTATGTTAGGCTGACAAATCTCTGTCATCTGCTTTGCTTTTGAACTATGATTCAAATAGTGTAAAAAGAAAACGCTCAGTGGCGTCAGCTCTGAGGAAGATCGCAGACACGATCAAAACTGTCAGCAAGGTAAAAAACCTTCCCTGTCTTTCAAAAAGAACCTAAAATGCAGTCAGAAGAAAAACACAAAAGGTGTTTGTAGTCTTTTGAAAAACCGCTGGCTTATCAAATCCCCCTGATAAATAAATACAATGAATATTCCACACTTACTAATCATGATTTGTGGTTGAGCGTCCACCCTGTGACTGGGAGATCGGGGTTCAAATCCTGACTGGGTCATACCAAAGACTTTAAAATTGGACCCAAAGCCTCCCTGCTTGACACTCAGCTTTAAGGGGTTCAAATGGGGGGTTAAACCACCAATTAGTTCCAGAGCGCAACCACTGCTGAAGCTCACCGCTCTCCACGGGGATGGGTCGAAGGCGGAGATGTAATTTCACCTGTGTGCGATGATGACTAATTGGACTTTACCTTTAAAGTGACAGTGTGTACTTTCCCTGGCAATTGGGTGCAGTACATACCCAAATCATTGCAAGAGAGGGGTAATTTTGTATTCAAGTAAGACCTTACCAACAGAAGGCCATTAGGGTCAAAAATCCCTGGGAGCATAGCCTCCAGCAAAGTAACAAGCATTTCAGACTTTCTTTCATTGCTGACAACAAGCGAAGAGGTAAACGTGTAATACAGAGTTTATAAATGGTGAAAGTTTTGTAACCACTTCCTACACATCAGTAAATACATTTTGTCCTCACAGGCTCATGTAGAAGGAAACATGGCGGCTAATAGCCTCTTTTAGAAAACAAGTTCAGCAAATTGTTGCAATGTTGTCGCGGCATCAGGGAGCCTTAGATTGTTTAAAGGTGGTCAAACCGGTGGTAATGTGGTGCAATCATGTTCTTTATACAAAAGTTTATGCGATGGCAGTATAAAGGGGGTATGGGGATGGTCTCTGCACTGCCGCGGACTTCCGAATATCTTGGACATAACTTGCTCTTTATTGCGTTTAAAGCCCGTTACATTTACATACAACAAGCCGTTACTAAAGGTGTCCTTCCTCCACAGCCCCTGCGTAGTCTCAGGTGATCTGACCTCCAACTCTAATGAAGAAAAGCTCCCTGAACTCTGCATCTCTGCAGTTTATCATCTCTGCTGCTTCTGTTTACAAAAGTGAATTTTACGGCCCGTGTTTACTTTAATTTGCAATATGGTTGCAAGACGGAGCTTGGCAGTAACTCCCAACGTCATCGTGACACCTCCCTCTGTTGCACCAAGGCGTAATATGCATTCACAAGTCTGGCAAAGCGGCAATATTACTGCCAGGATTGGCGGCACGAATGTTGCAAAATTCCCCCAACGCCATGCGGTCACGGCGCACTCATCAGGCACACTGTGGTGGCATGGTGTGTCCTCTAAAAAGGGATGTATCTCTTTAAAGAGACAATGTATAGTTTTTATCGTTAATCTATGTAAATATCCATCAAAATATTTTTGGAAACAAATTAAATGATAATTTATTAACTTCTTATAACTGAGATAAAAAAAAAACACAATACAGTCAAAATTTGTCAAACCTACTTCTGAAGATAGAAAACATAAATAATCAAGGGTCTCGTTTATCAAACAGTGCGTAGAATCCGTACTAAAACCGTACTTAAAGAGCAAGTCACCCCCAAATCAACACTTTTTTTCTAATAAACTATATAAATGCGTGTCTAATCGTGCTGCAGACACGTGTAGTCAATAGTTTGGCACTTTAGTGCATTTTAGTTCAAATTTAAATTTTCTGCCTGAAACTGTCCGTGTTGTGCCATTGCCAGGTAAAAACTCTTCACTGCATTTGAATTTAAATCTAACACCGCTATTGGCTAAGAGGTATGCTATGATGTAAACTGGTACATTATGATGTCACAATGTCGTGAGTGTGTGTATTTGTTAGTGGCTCCACCCTCTCGGTCTGCTAGGCAACAGCATTTGTTGCATTTTTCAAACATGAAGCGGGAGTGAAGTACGCTTCTTGCTAGGGGTGACTTGCTCTTTAAGCTCAGCAAAAAAAAAAGTACTTATGCCAAGTAGGTTTGTGATCTATCAAACGTGGAGTACACACAGCTGCACGCAATCTCCGCTTCATGAATCAGAGATTATCAGTGTGCCCCAGGGCAGCTGTGGCTACATCGTAGCTCATCACCATCAGTGTGTGAATGTGTGTGAATGGATGAACGATACACTGTAGTGTAAAGCGCTTTGGAGTCCTTACTCTGAGAGGCGCTAAACAAGTGCGGGTCATTTGTCATTTAACGAGAATGTTTCTCAGCTGCGTTTTAGTCACATCCCGCCCTCACCACGCCCACTTACTGCCATAAATAGTCGATGCAAAGTGCCTTGTGGATCTCACGCATATACATAAGCCGGCTGTTGCAGCATTTCGATCAAGACCGCAGATCAAGGAAGTGCTATTTCACGAGCAGAAATTCAGGTACCTGTGGGTGAGGTGGAGAAATGAAAGGAAGTGTCACGTTGAGGATGTTTAGGACCCAAATATGCAGATACCCAGATGACAAGAGGCAGAAGTAGAGTCAAAGTAAAAATCCTTTTATTTGGAGGATAAAGCACAAAAAGTAATCCAAGGCAGCGAGCCAAAGTCCAATAAGTACTGTGGAACAGGAACACCCAAAGCTCTTCTTAGAGCACAAAAACCTGGAGATAAAGCTCAACCAAGAGCACGACGACCTGAAGGCAAAAGCTCACAGCAGAGCAACGCTGACAACATACAACAACAAACCGACACCAGACACAGACAAGACAGAGCTTATATACACAGGGAGAAGTGATTAGGGAAAGTGGTGGCAGGTGTGTGGAGTGAGGGCTGGAGGGAAGACAGGTGAACCTAATAATCAAAATGGGCAAACAGAAACAGAGGAGGGCTTTATAAACCTAAAAAACTCTAAAACACAAAACTAAACCTAAAAGGCTGCGGGAAGGATTAACACACACACACACCATCACACAGACACAAATGCACTAATATAAACAGGAATGGGGAATGGACAAGCACACACACACACACACACACACACACACACACACACACACACACACACACACACACACAATGAACTGGGAAATGGACACACACCCACACACAGCTGGGGACAAAGAGGCTGGAGCCGCAACTTGGGGCACAGAGGATAACTAAATGAACACTGGACCTGAGGGGATGATTAAAAGGTCTACAAACAGACGACACCATATAGAGATGCAGACATGACACATGAGGGCACTAGAGGACACAAAAGGAGCACCTAGAGAACAAATGGACAAAAGGAGACACATGAGATGTGACGCCAACACAGACCATGACAGGAAGTGCTTTTGCAAAACAAATAAAGAGAAAATCCACAGAGTGGCACAGCGTTGCTGAAGCCATCAATGCTGAGATCTGTTGCGAATGCAAAAAAAATGATTGGATGAGGATTCGATCCCCAGACTCCCAGGTGAACGTCACGAGTGCTAACCAGTCAGCCAAACAGAGATCCCTTGTCCAAGTAGCCAGGGTGCATGATTGATCGGGTCACAGTGACAGGACACACACACGGTCACAGACGCATGACATTCTATCTCAATCTGTCCCCCTACTGATATTATGCATTCCGTATTCTGCGCTTCAGGCTGTGTGTGTGTATGCGTGCATGTGTGTGTGTGCACGCGCGCGCATGTGTGCATGTGGGGGTTCTTGTTCTGTGTGAAAACGAAGCAGTACAAGTGATAATGCTGCAGGATTTCATCATTGTATCCTTCTCAGCAGCAGCACTGCAGGTGCTCTCATGTCCAGCATGTGTGTAAGCCAGGTCCTTAGTCAACTTAAAGTTGCGCACATTTTTCCGCTCAGTTTTCTTTCATAAATCCCAAAGTTTGCGTGGAAAGTTGCTTACGCAGTTTTCCGACCCCGTTTTGCACGTAAGCAAGCTTGATAAATGAGGCCCCTGGACTTTATTGGTTGAGGCTCCATGTTTTATGGAGCATCTGGGTGATTCCACAAACAAATTAGTTTGTTTAAACTTCTAATTAATTATTAATTTGTTCCACATCCATCTAAGGTTTCGAGTGAAGCATGACCCCTAAAATAAGAAGATTAACGGAGTGTAAAATTCTTCTCATCATTGCTGTTCTCCCTGGGGACTCGGGATATTTGAAAGTAATTAAGTTTCTTTTTATCTATTTTTTCCCTTTATTAAAGTTAAAGGAAGTTAGTGAGAAACACTGATGCTCTAACTTGGAGAGGAACAGGTTTTAATTAGGGTTAAATTAACTTAGATTATTGATTATAACACACTAAAGTGCACGGCCACGCGTGAGGCAGGGAGATCTTCCTGGAACACCGTGAATTACCGTGATTTCATCGGCTCATCGGCAGAGACAGATAAAATCTTCACCTCTCATTGCTGGTGACGTCCAGATGTTTGTGGATGGAGAGGAAGGCCTGCTTCAGAAACGTGATCCTCTTGCGTTCTTCGTCCTGTGATTGATCAAAAATGGCCTCCATCTCCTCCATGTAGCGAGGAACGTACTTGTTAACCTCCTCCAGAACCTTCTCATACCGAGCACGGACCTGAGGGGAGAGGCCAGAGTTGTGTGAAGAAATAAGCCATTATGCAGTAGCCCAAAACATTATGACTACTGTGTAAATGACTCAAGGGTCAGAATACCATCTTTATGACTTTAATGTGGTTCAGTCAGAAAAAACTGAAACAATGTTACAATAAGCCCACTTTTCTTCTCAAGTACAGGGTTTACTTCATTTGTTCAAAGCTTACCTGAAGTAAGAGATATTTTTGTAAAGGTGTTGTTCACTCGTTTAATCAATACATTTGAAGTAGTCTGGTACGAATGAATGCCTTGCAAGCCATACTCAGGACAACCCCCCCCCCCCCCCCCCCCCCCAAGAAAGGCCTGGATCAGCAGGGATAAGTCTGCCTCATCAGAGAAGAACCAGGGCTGCCAACTTTTGAACACTTCAAAGAGTGAGACAGGGTCATGGGGTCGGGAGCGGACAATTCGCCGACCGTTTAGAGCAGCGGGGTTTATTACTATTGAGTCTTTTTGTGCTCTACTTTTTTATTTTTTATTTCTACTCTGTACGGAAGAGGATTAGAGCTACGGACAGGAAAAAAAAGGAAAAGAAAGAGAATTCTTACTTTTTTCTCAAAATTCTGACTTTCAATCTTGGAAGTCTGACAGGGAATTCTGCAGAAAAAAATCGAATTCTCTTTCTTTTCTTATTTTTTTTCTTTTCAGTGGCCCTAACCCTCTTCCGTACCTCTGACTTTACAGAAGGATTTGACCTCTGTTTAATACAAATGTTCTTTTCATGAGGAAAATTTAACATCCAACTCTCCTGAACTTCTTTACATTATCTATCTATCTATCTATCTATCTATCTATCTATCTATCTATCTATCTATCTATCTATCTATCTATCTATCTATCTATCTATCTATCTATCTATCTATCTATCTATCTATCTATCTATCTATCTATCTAACTATCTATCATCTATCTATCTATCTATCTATCTATCTATCTATCTATCTATCTATCTATCTATCTATCTATCTATCTATCTATCTATCTATCTATCTATCTATCTATCTATCATCTATCTATCTATCTATCTATCTATCTATCTATCTATCTATCTATCTATCTATCTATCTATCTATCTATCTATCTATCTATCTATCTATCTATCTATCTATCTATCTATCTATCTATCTATCTATCTGTTGTCAGAGTCCAAGCCCCCAGGCCGGGCTCTCCCAGCTGACCGGCTTCCGTCTTGGACCACATTACCCAGCATGCCCTCGCGAGGATTCCCTCCACGTTTCACCTGCGTCATCCATGTCTATATATGGAAGACGCTACACCGGCTCTTCACTCAGTCATCGTTCCACCGTGATCCATGATCAGAGTATTTCCAAAGCTACTACAGCTAAACCTCCACCTTTCCTCCTCAGACCTCATCCGTCAGCCGTTCCAGCACCGCTTTCAGCCCACCATCTGTATAATAAACGCTCTTACTCCCGAACCCAGTCTTCGAGTCTGACAGGATGACTGAGACTATTAATCCAGCGGAGTTCGAGCAGGTGAAGAGAAAGATGGAGCAACTGGTGAACGAGAACGTTCAGCTCCACGCCCAGGTCGACCGGCTTAACACCAGACTGAACTCCCAGACCGATCTCTCCATGCAGTTGTCTACTGCCGTCACGGCACTCCAGCAGCAGGTTCATGCTCTCCACCTGCAAGCCCTCACTCCACCGACGGGAGAGCCACACTTCAGTCTCCCGGAGAAGTGGAATGGAGAGACGGGGAGTCCAGACGGTCTGCTCGCTATGCAGTTCGAGTGCCACCCAGGACGCTTTCCCACTGCGCGTTCTCGAGTGGCACAGCTCACCTCCCTGCTCACCGGACGCGCGGCAGAGTGGGCTGCTGCGCTCTATAATTCTAAATCACCGGACTGCAATGACTACGCTGCATTCGTGGCTGCCCTCAGAAAGACGTTTGTTCCACCCAGCAGCGAAATGGGGGCAGAGGCACGACTCCTAAAACTCCGCCAGAAGGAGCGCTCTGTTTGCGCTTATGCGTCGGAGTTCCGCACCATCTCCGCCAAGCTGCGGTGGGATGACTCTGCCCTTCGAGCCGTCTTCTTGGAGGGACTGGCAACCTACATCCGGGATGAGATGGCGGGAAAGGAGCTGCCCCAGAACCTGGATGAAGTGGTGGATCTGGCGTTGCGCATGGATCAGCGGGTTCTGGTTCGGCCCAAGCCCTTCACTCGCCCATCCAGGGCGCCTGGACCTCTTCCTCGTTCCCCCACGCCTGCTCCCGGACCCGCTTCTACTGATGAGCCCATGCAATTTGGCCACCTTCCTCCAGAGGAGAGACAGCGACGGTGGCGCGAGGGTCTCTGTGCCTATTGTGGCTCCTCCCACCACAGACGCCTGAACTGTCCATTACGTTTGGGAAACGAAGGAACCCACTGAGTATCGGGGTCGCTCAGCCTGGGTCACCTTCAGCCCCCACCTCTTCAAATCACCTCCTTCTTTATGTTACCCTCCTTCATGGTGAGGCCTCACTCAAGATGCATGCGCTGGTGGACTCGGGGGCCGCTGACAATTTCATGGACATGGATCTGGCTAAGCGCCTACGGATCCCCATGACCCCCTTGGAGAGAGTTGTGCCAGTGACCTCGGTGGACGGTAGGCCCCTCCAACCCTATCCGGTCCAAAACCGAACCCAGCCACTCCAGATGATTGTCCAAGGCCACAGAGAGACCATCCAGTTCCTGATCATATGTGCTCCCTCCTCTCCTCTAATCCTGGGATTTCCCTGGCTCCGTCTCCATGACCCCCGGATTTCCTGGTCCCAGGGCCGCCTTTTGGAATGGGGGGCCCAGTGCCAGGCCCACCTCTCTCCTCCTCCATCCATGCCAGACTGCCCGGCCGGTGACCCTGGTCCTACACCGCCCAATCTGCCACTGCCCTACCGGGACCTGGCTGCGGTGTTCGACAAGCGGCGCGCCACCACACTGCCTCCTCACCGCCCGTACGACATGGAAATTAAGCTGCAACCAGGAACCAGTCCACCCCGGGTGCGCCTTTTTTCTCTCTCACCCGCCGAGTCCAGAGCCATGGAGGAATATATTGACCATGCCCTCCGGCAGGGTTTCATCCGACCCTCGTCGTCCCCAGGTGCCGCAGGCTTCTTCTTTGTGAGGAAAAAGGAGGGTGATCTCCGCCCCTGTATAGATTACAGAGGACTGAACAAGATCACAGTCAGAGATCGTCATCCTCTGCCGCTCCTCACGTCCGCCCTGGATGCCATCTCCCAGGCGCGGATTTTCACCAAGCTGGACCTCCGGAGCGCCTACAACCTGGTCCGTATCAAAGCTGGAGATGAGTGGAAGACAGCGTTCATCACCCCCACCGGTCACTGGGAGTACCAGGTCATGTCCTTTGGACTGAGCAATAGCCCCGCCGTTTACCAACGCTTCATCAATGATGTCCTCCGTGACATGTTGGGACGGTGGGTGTTTGCCTACCTGGATGACATTCTGATCTACTCCAAGTCAGAGGCCGAACACTACCACCATGTTCGCGCTGTCCTGACCCGGCTCCTGGACAACAACCTGTTCGGTAAGCCCGAGAAGTGCTCCTTCCACCAGCGGTCCGTTTCATTCCTGGGCTACCTGATTTCGGATCAAGGTCTAACTATGGACCCTCAGAAAGTCCAGGCGGTGAAGGACTGGCCCCTACCAACCAGCCTGAAGCAACTGCAGAGTTTTCTGGGTTTCTGCAATTTTTACCGTCGATTTATCAGAGACTTTAGCACCATTGTGGCGCCTCTCACCTCTCTCACCCGACCGAGCCCTCCTGGTCAACCGTTCCGGCTCACCCCAGATGTCGTTCGGGCCTTCCACTACCTAGTCGCTCGTTTCACATCGGCTCCTATCCTGCGCCATCCGGATCAGGCAGTCCCTTTTGTGGTCGAGGTTGACGCTTCGGATGTCGGCGCCGGCGCCATCCTGTCCCAAGGCGGCCCAGATGACAGGCTACACCCCTGCGCCTACTTCTCCAGGAAGTTTTCCACCACCCAGCAGAAGTACGGCGTAGGGGATCGCGAGCTGCTGGCCATAAAATGGGCGTTGGAGGAATGGAGGCAGTGGCTTCTGGGCACCCCTCAGCCGTTCACCATCTGGACTGACCACCAGAACCTAACCCACATCCGGTCCGCCAAGCAGCTAATTCCTCGCCAGGCTCGCTGGGCCCTCTTCTTCGAACCCTACGAGTTCCATCTCGCCTATCGCCCAGGGACTAAAAACCAGAAGGCGGACGCCCTCTCCCGCCAGTTCACACATTCAGCGCCCACGTCCGAGCCGGCGCCCATCCTCCCGGAGCACCGTTTCGTGGCCCACCTTGGGTGGCCGTTGGAGGAGGCCACCCAAAACGCCCTCCGGGATGACCCAGCGCCGCCAGAGACCCCCGCCAGTCGGCTGTACGTCCCCGCGGCCTGTCGCAGTGAGGCGTTGGCCTGGGCCCACTAATCACGCGGGCTTCTCTCGGACTCTCAAGTTCTTGAAACGGGCTCTCTGGTGGCCACGTATGGAGAGGGACGTTAAGGAATTCACGAGCGCCTGTGACGTCTGTGCCCGCTCTAAGGCATCCACCCAGGCTCCGGTTGGCACCCTCAGACCTCTTCCGGTGCCCAGCCGCCCCTGGTCCCATGTGGGGCTGGACTTTGTCACAGGTCTCCCGCCGGTCAACGACCTCAACACCATCCTAACAGTCACTGACCGGTTTTCCAAAGCTTTTCACTTCATCGCCCTCCCGGGCCTTCCCTCGGCCCGACGCACTGCAGAACTGTTTCTGGAGAATGTGGTGCGTCTCCACGGGTTCCCGGTTGACGTGGTCTCAGATCGTGGTCCCCAGTTCACGGCCCGTTTCTGGAAAGCCTTCTGCCATCTAGTGGGAGCTTCTGTCAGCCTGTCTTCGGGCTACCACCCACAGACCAACAGTCAATCGGAGCGGGCGAACCAACAGTTGGGCCGGTACCTCCGCTGCTTTGTCTCGGCCCAGCCCTCGCAGTGGCCTAAGTACCTCCTCTGGGCGGAGCTGTCCCATAATCTTCACACCTCCTCGGCCACTCAGATGTCCCCTTTCGAGGTCTGCTATGGCTACCAGCCCCCAGTCTTCGCCCACCAGGAACCCGAAGTCGCGGTGCCAGCCGCTCAATCCCTGGTGAGGCGTTGCAAGAACGCATGGATCAAGGCGCGGGCCTCCATTACCCGGGCCAACGCCCGTTACTCACACCAACACCTCCGCAGGCACCGCCCGGGTCCCTCCTATGCTCCAGGGGACAAGGTCTGGGTGTCCACGGCAGGCCTCCGGGTCCGCGCCGGTTCCAGGAAGCTCGCTCCCCGGTTCCTCGGGCCCTACCCCGTGCAGGAGGTCATCAACCCGGTCACGTACCGCCTGCGGCTGCCTACAAGCCTTCGCGTCCATCCTACCTTCCACACCTCCCGGCTCAAGCCTTACGTGGAATCCCCCCTCCTGCCACCTCAGGCTCCAGCACCTCCGCCGGCCCGCTTCCTCGACGGTGAGCCCATCTACACAGTCCGGCGCATTCTGGACGCTCGCCGCCGGGGTCGGGGCTGGCAGTACCTTGTAGATTGGGCGGACTACGGCCCCGAGGAATGCTCCTGGGAGCCGGCCCGCTCCATCTTGGACCCTGCCCTCATCTCGGACTTCTGGGCCCACCGAGGTGGCCCGGGGACTTCTGGAGCCGTCCCTGGACCGGGGGGTCCTGTCAGAGTCCAAGCCCCCAGGCCGGGCTCTCCCAGCTGACCGGCTTCCGTCTTGGACCACATTACCCAGCATGCCCCTCGCGGGGATTCCCTCCACGTTTCACCTGCGTCATCCATGTCTATATATGGAAGACGCTACACCGGCTCTTCACTCAGTCATCGTTCCACCGTGATCCATGATCAGAGTATTTCCAAAGCTACTACAGCTAAAACTCCACCTTTCCTCCTCAGACCTCATCCGTTCCAGCACCGCTTTCAGCCCACCATCTGTATAATAAACGCTCTTACTCCCGAACCCAGTCTTCGAGTCTGACATCTATCTATCTATCTATCTATCTATCTATCTATCTATCTATCTATCTATCTATCTATCTATCTATCTATCTATCTATCTATCTATCTATCTATCTATCTAGCTATCAGCAGTAAAGAGTTACAGCTACATGTCACAAATGTCACACAGGAACTTTTACTTATAATTAATGTACATTTTTTAAATTTCCATCTAGGGGTGGGCAATAACATGTCATTCATAATATTACCAGTTATTATTTCCTGCCAAGAAAAACAATCTATCATGTTAAGCTAACTTCATGATGTAATTGCCTTCACTAAACAGAGGATTATGCTCATGTGGGTCATCAGCATAGATGTAGTTATTGAAGTTATCTAAGCAAACATGGCTGGAATCAGTTTTACTGTAATCTGTGTCTCTAAGTGTGTGTGCCGCTGTAATGAGTGGATGGCCCCACTGTGGGACTAATAAAATGTACTCTAATCTACTCTATTAATTCATATCAGCCAGTAGGAAAAAAGATGTTTAAGTAATTGTGGCCCTTCCAGGCTTCCGTACCAGTAACCTGGTTGTGGAGGAGGGGTTCGTCTCACAAACAGGAAAAACACACTGGTGAAGCGGAGTATGAAAGTATTAGGATTCCTAATGCTTTCATTCACCGCATCATCAACTAATGTAGAGGGAACATGTGAGGGAGTCCCCACGGTAGGAAGCCCAGCTTGCTGTGAGCGAGAGTAGCGAGGATCTGTGGCTGATGAGTGAAAAGAAAAGAAAAACATTCGGGACTGAAGCTCCATCAACACCGGCTGGTGACGCGGCTGCATTTATAAATAAAGTACGTCATTTTGGTGGCACGCGCAGCCCAGCTCATGGTTCTGGGAGAACCGGGCCCGTCCCATCAGCAGCAGGTGGAGCTCACCGCTCCGCCCATCTCACAACCAGAGCGGAAAAAAGCACATCGGCTTGGATTATACAGATGGGATTCTGCGTGTGAAACAATGCCAGTTAAAGTATTACTAAGTGTTGTTTGTGTGCATGATGTTCAGTAGCTAATGCTATAATTAACATCATCTGGGTTATTTTTCCTAAAACCCAATACACCTTGTGCGTGATGCGCATTTGGGGAGCGCAGGCGCTGGTTTAGTGTGAGAGATTGGAGGTGTGGCGTGAGAGCGTGTGAAGAGGGTCAAATGTGTGTGTCTCACGCTCAGTGCGTGAGAGTTGGCAGGTGGATCATGTGAACCATTGGTCCAAATAACTGACAATCACTATGGTGAACCATTCATGCAAGGCTATCGTCTTGCGTGCTTCCTGTGCAAAGCAAAGGTTGTGCTCCCTACAGATGCCTCTGTCGCTGGTTTTCTGCTCTACAGGTAAGCTAAAGTTCGGCGTGCTATCTGGAGAAATTCATGTCAGCTTACTGCTAGAAGAAGTTAGCTGCAAGACCGGCAGCTACTTGTAAACACAGCGTGGGCGTTTTCTCTCATGCGCAGTTTTTCAAAACGGGAAGAGGGTGGTTCTTTCTTAAAATTCAGAAACATTCACCGCCATACCATTACAGTTTTTCTCAGTTGCTTCGGTGCATTTCTCACAACAGAATTAAACTTTTGCACAACAGTTAGTTCAACCTCCACAACATGTAGTCGTTGTGGCACAACCTAGTGGTGGTTTCATGTTCATTTCGTCCAAATGCCTCTGGACATGAAGCAGTTGAATAAGTACAAATGTCTAAAGAATGGTCACTTTTGACTTGCTGTTCATCACCATCTCCTTGCTTTTATCATGAATGTCACAATTATTGATACTTGTACCGGCTGAATAGTCATTGTCCTTACAACTAATAGTCTTCATTCCATTGCTTGTGTCATTGCACTCAAAATTGTTGAACATCTTGTCAAATAATTAGTACACCCGTTTTGAAAACCCTATTTTTAAGGAGTTTCCATGGAAATCTCCATAAATTACTTTTCTCAGGTGAACCTTATCTCACGCTAACGAATACTGGTGTGTGTCCAGGTGACAATCAGACAATGTATGTAGTGGTTTGGGATAATGTTATCTTCCATCACTCTGCTGTAGTCAGGCAGTGGTTTGCAGCACACGGCAGGATGCTTATGGAGTTTCTTCCTCCTTACACTCCATTCCTAAATCCAATTGAGGAGTTTTTCTCTTCCTGGAGGTGGAAGGTATGTGACAGGCATCCACATGTCCAAATGGCCCTGCTAGCAGCTATGGATGCAGCTTGTGATGACATCACAGCAGATTCCTGCTGAGGGTGGATTCGACACTCCAGAAGATACTTTCCCCGATGCATCGATAGAGCTGGCATTCGCTGTGATGTTGATGAAAATAAGTGGGCAGACAGACGGGAGTGTCTAGATATCAATGATTGATATGCAGCAGTGTCTGTTCAGGTATTTTTTTGTTTGTTTCATAACTACTGCAGTAAGGTTTACTGTCTAAATGAGTTTATGTTTGCTGCAAAATGTTTTTTTACTGTATTTCCCCAGTTGCACAATGCTGTGAACAGTTTTAAGTAAATATTATCAAGAGTGCATATGAAGTGTCTTGATTTTCCTTTAAGATTTATGGTTTTCAACCAAAATGCCATGCATGCTGTCCAGACTTGACATGTCATTGGGAAGCACCTACAAAGAAATCTGTCACAATGAGAACATGTTCAAACCATTTGATTTTGTGACCAAAGGTGCTGGTGTAATGACTTGTAATTGTGACAGCCCTGACACTTTGATTGATATGAGTACTTGCTTTTGACGAATATATTATCTGTTTTGATTAAGGGACTTGCTTTTGAAGCATTTACTACTTATTTTGGGCAGCTGACTTGCTTTTGAACAACTGACATTTCTTTTTGATGAAGTGACTCACTTTTGCATGTTATCCACCGTGTTTTGCAGTTTGCACTAATAGTTTTGAGAAAAGCCTTAGTAGTGGTGCAGAGATCAATTCTGTTGTGAGAAATGCACCAAAGCAACTGAGAAAAGCTGTAACACGGCAGGAGTCTTGTTTCGGATGGGATAACAGCAACGCGACTCTACAACCAAATCTGTTAGTTCTGTAATGCTGATGCTTCATCTCCACAAATAACACCAGCCTGCCATGTGGTGAAGTTGCTAATGCTAACGGTTAGCTTCTGCTTGTGTCGTCTTGGGTTTGTAAGCAGGGGCGCCTCCAGAAAATTTAGATAGGGTTGGCCAGTCGGGCCCCAAATTTTTTTTGGGGTGGCACGCAAAAAGCTATGGAGGTAAAACCTTCTTTTAAATGGTGAACAGCAGAAACATGTATTTTTTTTATTCTGATTATTTCTTTACTCATTGATTGTATTATTTATAATTTGTTTCACAATTATGTCTTGAATAAATAAGATCCATTTATAGTTTGAGTGAACAATAATATGATTCATTAACATTGGCTTTTGCTGGGGGGGGGGGGGGGGGGGCAGCAATTTTCTACCCTAACCCAAACCCTAGCCCTAGCCACCCCTTGGGGGTGCCATTGTTTGTGAGCAGTGGATTCTTAACACATCTTTATGCTTAAACCAGTTGTATTGACCTTTTGTCACGCTTGAGTTCAGATCTTAAAGGATGAAAACAAGAAAACATTCCATTAAATGTAAAAATATTAATTAAACTTAATATTTTCCAAACTTGGTCACCATGGTGACGGAGCTTTCTGACACGTTCAGGGGCAACTTTTCTTGTGGAGTGGAAGCTGCTGATTGAACCTCCATCTGTGCACATTTTTGACATTATTTGTCCCAAGTCTCAGTACAAAGTAGTAAAATCAAAGTTTTGTTAACCTCTGTAACATGCTGAGCTTTGAGACTTCAAACAGCAGATAAATGAGCAGAACAGACGGAGCTCAATCTGCTCCTCAGACCCCAAAAAGAAAAACTGAGACATTAGTCTCACCTTCTCAGCCTCCTGCTGAGCCCGTTCTCTCTCCTCCTGGATCTTCTTCTGTTTGTCGATGGCGACATCCGGGTTTCCCTGAGCGTGAGCCTCTCGCTCCCTGGCTGCATGCTCTTTTCGGCTAACCTTATGGTACGCTCTTCTGGCTTTGTCAAGCTGTGGAGAAACCCCATCTGGGATGAAAATACTCTCACAACCATAAAAATACCAGCCTCCAAACATTTCATTCAAAAGTACTTGACACTTGAATCTGATTTTGGAAATATCTACTAGTTTCTGTTGAAGACCAGCTTCACTAGTTTTTTCAACACATTTGCAGTAGACTCCACTATAGATGAAGGCCTTGTGAGTCAATCTCTGGGGTAAGATAAGGGAAAGATGGCAGGATCTTATATCGCTGCTAACTGGTTAACAGCGCCACTACTCTACTGACTCAATTTGCTCTACAACATTGATGTTTTATTTCTACAAATAACTCAAGCCTGAAGGAGTTTTGCTTTGTGGTGGAGGTGCTAATGCTAATGCTAACGATTAGCTTCTATTAATCGAGGCATGCATTGCTCTCTCCTGGATACTAAACCAGCCACAGCCTTTCCCGTGGCGAGCCAAGATGGACGAGTCCACAAATGCTAATTTAGTGTGACTGTGTAGCTTTTTCTGACCCGAGATTTTCCCCATCTAATTTCTATTGGCAGCTAATGCAGGAAATAGGGGTCGAAGACTATTTTCATGTTTGGCCTGCATGTGAAACTTAGCGTGTCAAAAGTAACAAGTGGGTTTCCCAGTGGACCTGCTCTCTAAGGCGACTAAAGTATGCACATTAAAACGCCCCCAAATGTTACTTTCCAAGTACAAAACTGTGATCATAAAGAAGTTTTGCAGCAAAGAGCCTAAATGCAGGACCTGCAGGAAGTAACGTTCCTGAATGTGGCCGTTTAATCTTCACCAAAGAGAATATTTGTACCCTCTGATGAGATAAAACCTCACAGTTCAACACAAAGCCATGAGAGTGCAACAGATAAGAATAATATGAACAGATAAAATGAATCCTACAAGCTCTTAGACCATTTCTGGTGCTTCAGAAGGACAAACGGCTCTTATTCTAGAAGCTGAGGAGATCAAGAAAAATTGCAATCATTTTCAGCACACGCTCAGAAAGGTTGAATTCATTATGAGGTTAGTAACAAGAGTGGACACTTTTTAATTAAAGCAGTTAACAAATGTCATTTCCTGCTTCTTGGATCATATAAAAACAGAACGGTTAAAGCTTTGTGTGTCACATGTCATAGTCAAGAAATTTTTTTTTGTCCCATTGAGACAAATCTTAGTGATAATTTGAGGACTCCTACCTTCTTAAGGCGCTTGGCCCACGGTTTCTGAGCACGTGCAAACCCGGTGTCAATGTCCTGAGTCTCCTTGAAGCCTCCAAATAACTTCTTGTGAAAGGTGTCCTTCTGCCAGGTCCTGACCCGGTCTGCGTCTTCCGACACCAGGGAGCGACAGATGGAGGCGTGTAAAGAGGCCAGCCGGTCAGCGGAGGACAGGAAACACTGCCAGGCTTTGAGAAGAGATCCGTAAAGAGGACCTGATGTGGATGCAGAGAAGACCATTTTTAGATCAGAAGAGCATCAAATATGTCTAAAAACAAACAAACTGTGTGACTGTTGGGAGCTCTCACTGGAGTCCACTACTGGTTTCCATTTGTTGCTCCATTCCCCGAGCTGCTGAGCATACTGCCTCTCCACACGTGCTCTTTCTTGGAAACACGCTACGATGTCATTGCAGGCCTGGAAAGCATCTTCTGTTCGCTTTACGGTGCGTTGGTAGTTCCCAGGCTGTCAGGACACAGAGAGGAAGAGGAGTGAGGAGAGGCTGGTGTGAGTGGGTCAGTGGACTTTGACTCTACTGGAAAAGTAGGGTGTGAAACCCTAACCCTAACCCTATATCCATATGAGATATGCACTTGGCAAGTATGTTTTTTGCAAATACACTAGAAAGTCCGTTCTACAGAGCACGGGAAGACGAGGACTGCATTTGGAACAGAACCGTTCTCCGTAGCATCATGACAACAAGCGCTGCTTGTTAAAAAAAACAACGCGACATTAAACTAAGAGACTAGTTTGTTCCTTAAATAACAAAATAACAACAAATACATATTATTTGTATAATATGTGGTCCACTTTTGACTAAAATAACAGCATTTCCTGCTGTTAAGTGAAGAAAAAAGTAATTTTTTTTTCATCAGAGCAGAGCTATTTAATGCAATGCTGCTTATGTGTTGATGGTGAGTTTGATAATTAGCATTTTGAGGAATCTGGAGAAAAAAATGCACACAGCTAATTTTACAGGTTACACACAATTATTTACAATAACAGACAACTAAATATTTCTTTATTTGTATTTCTGATTTGAAACTCTACAGTTATGAGCTTTGGCATTCAGAGAATAACGACTTGCGACACAATGCAATATGGGATACTTTGTTCTCACAAGTCCACAGAAGGATGTAATAATGCATCCTCCACATAATGGGCGGAGCAGGAAACATCCAGGGAACTTTAAGCAAACTTGCCATGTTATGTTCTTAGGACTGGAACAGGACTTGGGCCATTGTTGGGGCAGCAGTAGCTCAGGAGGTAGAGCGGGTTGCCTCATGATCATGGGTCATGGGTCCGATTCCAGCTCCCGTCAGGGGTATTCTACTGTTGTGTCCTTGGGCAAGACACTTCAGCCAACTTGCCTGGGTTGGTGGTGGTCAGAGGCCCCCAGGGCGGCTGTGGCTACAAAGTAGCCTACCATCACTAGCAGTGTGTGAATGTGAGAGTGCATAAAAGTGTCTTTGAGTGTCCTAAACAAGCGCTACATAAGTGTGATTATTATTATTATTATTATTATTATTAATGCTTCAAAAGAACGTGAGTACACAAGTACAGACAAACTTACACGTACTGAGAAACACCCCAAATGTTTATCTTGTTTCCAACAACTCAAATAAAAGAGAATGTGGGGAAAATATTGTGTTCATGGCCTAACTGTTAGTTTGACATCATGTTTACTAAACCTATTTATACATTTCTAAGAGCTTTGCCTCTTGAGCAGCTTTAGTGCTTTCCTCAGGTCCTGCAGGTCTTCTGCCCTCTGGTGGAAGAACTAGGTACAGCAAGTGACAAGTGCAAACTCTTTTTAAAATGTAATTTTATTTTTTGTTGTATTGTTATATGCGTACAAAGTAAAATATGGATAATTATCTCATTTTTATTATTCCATTTGCCAACAAATATTTCCCTTTTTTAGAAAAACATTTTTTCTGATTTTTTTTTTTATTTGACGTATGAAACATTATAGAGTGCACATTCAGGGCAGAGATGATCAGAGCGGATGGAAGGTCTATTTCTATGTTAAACAGAATAAAACAGAGGTCTCAGGTGTCATCTGTCCAACACCTCCAGTCCAGCTGTGACTCTCCTCCCCTGGCACTCTCACAGCTGTTCACACCTGAAACAGGTTGGTCTGTTAGACAAGCAACCCACAGGTGATGACCTGAATTACACCTTTGATGGCAGGTGGACCACTGACTTCTTTGAACCAAGTGTGGATGTCCCCTCAACAGCTTCTAAACCCGAAACTTCTCTGTGACAAGTGAAGAATCATTTGAGATGTGAAACGTCTTCAGGAACCGAGAGAAAACGTCCATTTGCCTTTCATAGCTGCAAGGATCAGAGAGGGAGACTTTCTCCTATCAAAGTTCACTTTGCATCCTCATGAGATGTCACAAGAGAAATAAAGACCTCTGTGTCACAAAACTAAAGTTGAGACTTTAAGAGTTGTTCCTGTGTGGTGGAAGAAGTACTTGATGTTTTTACTTAAGTAAAAGTACAGATATCATTGTAGAAAAAGTTAAGTAAAAGTAGAAGCATCCAAGAAATGTTTGACTAAAGTAAAAGTATTAAATGTGTTGGAGTAAAAGTAAAAGGTAGGCCTCTGACACAGAAATATTAACAATGTTGGTTCCTGCTAACTGTAATAGTTGCTGTTCACTGATAAGATCAAGTTATGTGTGTGTGTGTGTGTGTGTGTGTGTGCATGTGCGCGTGCGCGTGCGCGCGTGCGTGCGTGCGTGCGTGCGTGTGTGTGTGTGTGTGTGTGTGTGTGTGTGTGTGTGTGTGTGTGTGTGTGTGTGTGTGTCTGCTCTGTCTTCTCAATCCCCAGTGAGTCGTGGTGGATGGCTGCTTATACTGAGCCAGGATCCTCTGGAGGTTTCTTCCTGTTAAAAGGGAGTTTTCCTCTCCACTGTCGCTAAATGCTTGCTTAGTATGAGGATTACATCAAGTCACTGACACTAGTCAGTGACTTGATGTAATTTGCTGGGTTCCTTATATAGGAAACATTTTTTCTGACTGGCTTAATGCATTGACCTGTACTGGAATGTTTATTATGTGAAGTGCCTTGAGACGACTCTTGTCGTGATTTGGCGCTATATAAATAAAACTGAACTGAACTGAATTGAATATAATCAAATTGTTTGTGGAACATGCAAGCTAAAAGCTCACCATTTTAAATTTGCCACCATCCTGCTAAGTTAAACTAACCCCGACTTTCCACTGACCGTGAAAGCGGTCACGTAATGCAATAGTGGCGTTCATCCCTGCGAGCTTGTTCCCAACCAGGAGCAATTCTGACATAAAATGGTAGCGAAGGCATTCCACACAGCTGATCCCATGATGTCATGAAATTATGGGAGAATTGCAACAAAACATGTGATTTTAGACGTCCACACACACTAATAAACAAGAAGAAAGTCAGCTGCATGCATGAAAAAATGTCTGAGTTATTTTCTGTTTACATCGGTCACAAAAGTTCACAGGAAATTATGTACTATGCCTGACTTTTATTTTGAAAGTTGTCAGATGTTCTCCATTGCTTTTGTGTTTGACTTCCTGTCTGGATTGATCTAAACTGTGGAGTTTGACGTGTTTTGGAAGCGTAGTGAGTCAACAATAGCCTCAAAACTTCATGATAGCGTGCCCTCGCTCCTGGGGCGGGTCCAAAACTTCACTCTTCGCTGCCAGTGGAAAGGAACTCATCCACTAAAACGATGACAAACTGCTGCGTAGAACGTTTCGCGACACTTTGACGTACAGTGGAAAGAAGGGATGAGTCTCAAGAGCAGGGCTCTGCATCTTGCAGGTTTAGACCTTCCACAAGTGATTCCTTGTACCCTTGTTAAAACTGATAAATAAATTAATTGTTTAAAACATAGATTTCATTAAAAAATTGAAGTTTAATGATGCTTTTCAGTTGTTATGTAATAAGTGCATTGAAATTAAGTGCCTTTATTTATTTGGGTCTTTTTACATAATTTTCCACAGATATCATCATCCTGTAGATTTTGACAAAATAAATCTCTTTAAAAGACAAGTGTGTGTGTGTGTGTGTGTGTGTGTGTGTGTGTGTGTGTGTGTGTGTGTGTGTGTGTGTGTGTGTGTGTGTGTGTGTGTGTGTGTGTGTGTGTCCAAAAAATCTCTCACGTACTTCCAAATTTAATCTCAGAAAAAATTCAGAATCCTGATTTTATCTTAGAATTCTTACATTTCCAAAAACAAAAGAGAGAACTGTTTTAGTGGCACTAATCATCTTCCATATGAAATTAGTCAACAGTTAGAAATAGTATTTTTCAAACGGTCGTGTAACTGATGGGACAAGTTTTATTCTGCTGGACTGAGAGGAAATGTGGCTCTTGTTCTCAAAGGATGCTAACCACTGCTCCAGCGGGAACTTCTCATTAGAGATAAACTGATAGAAATGTATTTAAAAATGTGTAGAAACCAGACCTTTTCTAAAAATAATCTGTTTTTATTTATGTCCTGAAAATAGGTCATTCTAGAGAGGAGCTAAAACTGTTTTAACTTGCAGACATTAAACATCTACTTGTGCTTACGCCCACTATAAGAACATCTTCTCCAGTAGCAGGACAACTGTGATCCGGCAGTCATCAGACGTGCCATGAGCGACATTTTGCTGGCATCAGGTTTCTGATGGTGAACCCGTCAGCTGGCAGCAGCGCTGTGGGGTGTGGCTGGTTTACGCGAGGATCAAGGCCTGGCCATGAATACGAGACAGAGAGGACAGCAGAGTCTCAGCCCTGGGAGCATAACCCAGTCTGCTGTTTGTGGATGTGGAACTTGGAAATCTTTTCAATTTTCCTGGCAGCTGCCGTGAGCTCCTGCTCTCTCTTCTTCACTTTCTGTCAGAGTCTGTCAGCGTCTGTCATGTGTAGACAGCTGGTTAAAAGACACCACACACTGGCTGTTGTCATGCTTTGTTAAATCATTGAGGCAGTGCACTTGGTGTAAACACCCAACGTGAAGAGGGTATTCCCCGAGCTGACATTTTGTCTCGATCAAGCAGATGTTCCTGATAACACGAGTGACGGAGCTGCTGTTGGGGAAGCGCACACGTTGGCAGACGTTTGCAGACACAAAGGTAAACTATTGTTGGAGCGCATGATGTATTCCAGTTGTGTAAATGATGCAACATCTGGAGGAATTAGATGTAAAACTGTTATTTTCTTTCATTTTCTCTTTCAAAACTGCCAACCATGTAACCTTGTGTTGATTTGAATGTCTTTGTCAGATTTTCTCCAAGACGTTTATTTGAGGTAAGAACAACTGCTGTGTTTGAAATTTGAACAAATCCATGCGAGTAACTAAATGTTTGGTATTTGTAACTAAATTATAAGTTAATGGATGCAAATGAGACTCATAAAGAAAAGGAATCAAAACATCTTGTCTCAGAAAATGTTAAAACACAAATACGATTCTTTTGAACTCTTTGT